TCTCTCTCTCTCTCATTGTCAAAATGGTTTTATTTTTCGTTAATTTCTGAAGTCAAAAAATAAAGTTCAATAATTACAGTAAAAAATTAACATGGAAACGAAAATTCATAATTTCATAATTAAAAATACCATTTTATTTATAATGATAATATATTACAGCAGTTATGATAGCAGACCGAGTTTTTTCATTTTTAATGCTTTCTCAGAATAATAACTATAATGTAGATACAGTAGACATAGTAAAATAATTCAACTAATCATTATTCCTCACTATTTTTTCTTACAATTAAGAATTTTTGAATAAAATTTAATTTTTTACACTTATATATTCTAAAATTAATAACGTTTTATGAAAAAAATTTATAGAAATTTATAACTTCTATTTTATAATCATAAAATAAACTAACACTATCTCACTTCTATGCTTAAAGCATCAATAGAATCGAGAACGGTGAGTGATACATGATGATGTATTGCGCGATTTGGACTTTTGTTTCACGGAAACAAACTAAATGGCTGTAGCAAGCAATAGACTTGATTTACCGATACGCAAACAACGATCTTGTAACTCGTGTTTCAATATCCCGCTGCATATGCAGCTGCGAAACATATACTTTTCCAGAAGAACTATTCATTTTGCGTGAACAATATATTTGGAAGAGAAGGAGAGATAGTTTAAAAATATTTTAAACAGAAGAATTGTTTTGTTAGTTAATCAATCACAATAAGATCTAATTAATGCCATAGAAATATTTTCTGAAGAGCGGTTCATAGATTTTAAAAATGATCCAGACAAAATGCAGACCAAACTGTACACGATCTAAACATTCCAAATGTTGCGAAGAGAATTGATGAAACGCGAATTCTTTCGTCTCCTTATCGATTTCGCTCGATCTTCAAGTCCATTGCTGCTGTTCTTTGACCAATGCAGTGATTTATCGCAGATAGCGGTTTATTGACCTCTTTCTGTCTTCCTGCCTCTCGTTCTTTTCAACTGTAATTTATTATCTCGCCGACGAAACAAATATGCGAAAATCAATGGGTGACGTTTTACGATCGTTTTTCTTTTCTTTCATTTGCGAAATAAAAGCACAACAAATTTTTAAATCATGGTTACATATGCCTGAGAGAATTCATAAATTATCACAATTATCACAAATTTAAAATGTGAAAAAGGAAAGAATAAAATAAATAACTATTAGCATTTTCGAAATCAATTTTCAAAAGAGATAAATCTAAATAAATACTGATCATGGGGATTCGAGAGAATATACATGTATATTGTGATATATGTATATATGTGTGTATCATTGTGTTGTTGACGTGTTATTTTAAAATGTTATTTGCGATAAATATCATCACATGCCTCTGTAATCGAAAAGATAAGCTTGCCCGGTAAGCAGGAGATCCAGGTTTGATTTCTGGCTGAGGTAATATTTTTCGCAAAATAATTACGAATTTTCACGACTGGTTCGTGGTCTGGCCCCGCCGTGACGCACACCCTCCCTTCTTATTTGGGCAGATAAAAGTTAAAAAAAGAATAATAAATTTGTAATATTAAAGTGAATAAAAAAAAAGAAAAAAAACATCGGAATCATGAATCATAGAATGTGAAAGATTACATATGATCTATTATTGCAAATATTAATCTTCAAATATAATTGGAATCTAGTGCATTAATTAAATGGCTATATGCCATATCTCAATAATTGAGAATAAACATGGTTAATAAAATCGACAAGTAAAGTCAATCAGTTGATCATACTTACACTGGTAATTTCGTTTCATTATCATCTGCGTCGATGGCGGCGCGACTCAAAGCCGGAAGACTACTTGCTTCATAGGGCGGACTGCTTAAATCTGAAATACAACGAAAAAAGCTGCTTCAAAGGGACATATGGACGAGTATTACGTCTCGCTTATATGAATTTCATCAAAGAATGTAAAGCTTAATTTTGTCTGAGGAAAAAGAAGGGTATATACGAAGATAATCTGAAAATTTTTGAGCCTAACATAGAAACAAGTATTTTTTCGGTCAAATATAGTTTTATTTTTCAACATAATCTCCTTTTAAGTCGATACACTTTTCTCATCAATACTCTAACCTCTTTAACCCCTCCAAATAATAGTTGGCGTCTTGCTCCGCAAAATAGGCGTTTACGTATGCGATGACCTCCTTGTTCGATGAAAATCTCTGTCCTCCAAGCGAAACTTTAGGCTTAGGAAACAGGAAAAAGTCGCTGGGGGCCAGATCTGGTGAATACGGTGAGTGGTCAACCAATTCGAAGTGTAATTCGTGAATTTTGGCCATGGCGACCGCCGAAGTGAGCAGATGCGTTGTCTTGATGGAACAGCACTTTCTCCTTCTTCAAATGCGGTCGTTTTTTTTGCAATTCTGCCTTCAGTTTATCAAGTAATGATGCGTAATACGTTCCCGTTATTGTTTTATCTTTTTCAAGATAGTCGATACACACAATTCTGTGACTATCCCAAAAAACAGTCGCCATTACCTTCCCAGCTGATAGAACCGTCTTCACTTTTTCACAGGAGATTCACCTTTGCAGTCCACTGTTTTGACTGTTCTTTTGTCTCTGAAGTGTAGTGGTGGATCCAAGTTTCATCTACAGTTGATATGAATTATGAATCAACGTAAAAAATCTGACTCGTTTCGCTTGAACCGCTCCAACAGGGCCTTGGAAATGTTCATTCGAATTCGTTTTTAGTCCAAAGTGAGCAAGCGCGGCACCCAACGCGCGGATAGCTTGCGCATATTCAATTCTTCAGTCAATATATGACAAACGCGTTCTTTCGATATGCCCATAGCCTGTGCTATCTCTCTAACCTTGATCGTCCAGTATCATTTGGTGAACATTTTCGAGGTTATCAACGGTGGTCGCAGTATTTGGCCGTCCCAAACGCTCATCATCAGCCAAGCTGGTACGATCATGTTTAAATTCAGCTGCCCTATTTTTTATGGTGGCAAATGATGGAGCAGAGTCCCCGTAAACAGTGTCCAACTCGATTTTAATTTGCGCAGGCATATTGCTTTTCAAACATAAGAATTTAATCACGATATTCAATTTTTTCCATTTTTACAAAAACACTGACATCGACTGACACAAACGACTGTCAAACAACTGAGCGTTCAAAATGGCTGAAATTTTTATAAAAGTCTTTCAAAGCATATACTATTGTAGTACTAGAATAGTTTTGACGAGTAACGTCATCTTCATGTTAAGGCTCAAAACTTTTCAGACTACCTTCGTAATCCTAGGATTCAAAATTAAGTTAGCCCGACCTGACTTTTATATCCTTATAAAACCTAAAGGAAACTTTGTTGCATGTCTCGTCGCGTAAACTTCGCGATGACTAATCACTTTGTAAAAATTAGCCGGGTAATTCATTCTAAACCTGATAAAATTACGGAAGTGGATTTGGTGTCGTGTCGTCATAAAAATACGAAGAAAAAAATAAAACAAAATATCATTTAAGTTATATATATCATTTATGTTGAGGTAAAGTTGCGCAAATTACATTTCTTTCAAGTTTTATAAGAATAATAAAAAGGAAAATAGAAAAAAAAGTGTTGCGAGATAGTAAATTATTTTTTTTAAATTGATCTCTGTTACACACATAATAATAATTATATAATTATATAATTATATAATTATATAATAAAAATAAAATATATAATCACCTATATTGGATTGATAGAAATCGCTATGGCGTCCATAAGGAGGTACTGACGGATGCGACAAGATATTCACTCTCCGTCTATGATTCACCTGCAAAATAAATGGAAATATTTTATATAAATCCTGTTTAAGAGTTCGATCATATAGTTTAAAAAAATCATAAATTAGTATTTCTGTAATCATTCTGTCTTTTTAATTTTGAAAAATTCATACAACTTATCTTCATCTTTTCCCTTTGCCAAGATTGAAATTTTTTTTCTTAAAAAACCTATATGTTAAGTAGAGAGTTTGCTTCTTATTCAAAGACTTCCTTCAAACAAAAAGATCGATAAGATTCTTGTACAGCATAGATGGAATTTTCGACAACACAAGTCACTAGTTTTAGTATCTAATGTAGTATCTAATTCGAAGATACTTAATTACGAAGATAAATAAACTGCAATAGAGTTTTTATATCTATATTAAAAACTCTTATGTCAGTTATTTATTTTTGTATAATCATACTAAAATTACTTATAGGAAAAAAAAATATATATATATATATATATATATATTCTTTTTCCATAAGAATTTTAATGATTATCAAATTGTTGTAATTAGCATATAATTATATTATATTAATTTATTATATTAATTATATTAATATAAATTATAATTTTTCGTATATATGTACAAATTAATATAATAGAATTTTTCATAGAATTCATTTGAAATTTTGTTTTTTATGAAAAGAACTTTGAAAACATTGTTATATAGAATTTCAAAGAAAAATTATTTATATAATTTTTATTTTACAAATGATATAATCAATTATTTTGGAAATAAAATTGTCGGAAAAAATATTTCAAGACAAAGTTGTAAAGTTTCGAGGAGACTACTGATTATTATATTGTTTTATTTACAAATGGAATCACCGTCGAAATTTTTTATGGTCACCATTTTTGTAATAAAATTATAAATAATAAAATTATATTTTTTGTTACATGATTTGTAATATGATTCCTCCAGTTATTCTGGATATAAAAATAAAGTATAATTAAAAAAAAAGTCAATAGTTTATTAGATATTTTTATACTTTATTTTAATATAAAATATTTCGTAAACTATTAATTTTTTTAATAACTGTATTTTTAATACTTATATGCACTGAATAAATCAATTAGTGTAAAAAAGGTACATAGTTGCTTTAAAAAAAATTATGGAATTAACAATATGCTAATACATATATTTTTTAAAAAAACAACTATATGTTTTCTCTATAACAATTGATTTGTTTCATTAGTGCATAAAATATTCTATGCATAAAAGTATACAGATACAATTATCAAAAAATGAATATTTTACGATATTTTATATTTTATATTAGAATATATCACAATATAAAATATCTCGTAAACTTGACTTTTTGATAATTGTATTGATATTTGATATTTCATATTTTTATATTCAGAATAATTTAAAAAATTATATTACATAATAAAAAAAGTACATAATATTATTTTAAAAAATGGCGACTATAGACATAAGAGCTCTGTAAATGAATCAATATCATAATAATCATATGGGCCTCTTTGAAACCCTATAAATTTATCTTAAAACATTTCCCTAAAAATTTTTTATTTCCAAAATAATTGACTATTTATTTAAAATAAAATACTATAAAATATTTGTATAATAACTTTCTTTCTTTAAAGAATTTCTGTTTTCTAATCATCAAAAAAAAATATGTATAAAACAAATATAAAATTTACATATGTAAATCATAATTATACAATATTTTTTTTCACATACTATTAATAACAATGGAAAATAAAATTGTAATTAGATATGTTCAAAAGAATATTTAGAATACTTTTGATGCTATCACAATAATTAACAAAATAACAATTTAATTTTAAACAATCAGTTAGATGTTCTCATATATTAAATTATATTATTACGTTCTCTCATTACTATTAACTTGTCATAGATATAAATTATTTTGTACAATATTATATTAATTATGAGCGTAGATATCGCGCCGTATGCTTTGTGAAGCATATATGAATTTTAAAACGCGGTTTGTTTCAACCATTGTTGGCCATCGCGAATCGTTCACGTTGGAATTTATACGCAACGAAATCATGCATCGTATTAATGAGAAATACAATCGACATATGTGTACATGCATGCATATATGTGCATTATGTGTATATGTGTATGTTAAATGTTTTTGTGCGCACGCGTGTGCGTGTATATGTATATGTATGTACGTTTGTGTAAATTTATTTATTATTATCTTATTTGTGTGTATATATGATTGTTTTATATTATATATTTTACACACATACAGATAAACGCAATAAACAAAAAAATCTGCATGCAACACAAATAAAATTGAAGTAACGTTTAGTAGAAGATTCATTGCGAAGAACTTCATAAACTTCGACGCCATTCAACAGTCGTCGTCACCATTAATTCTCAACATGGAAGCAGGATGAGTTTTCCGAGAGTCAAGTTTTCCGAGAGGAAAAAGCGTCTAAACGTGATGCAAGAAAAAAAGGAGAAGGAAAAAGAGAGAGAGAGAAAGAAAAGGAGAAAAAAAGTTTCATTACGCTTGCAAATTTTTCATTAACTATCTACACATAAATAGCATCAGACCATAAAGATGCCTATTATCTCGTTAAATACACAATGGTTATTGCTTTTTCATTAACCACGCAAAAATTAAAAATTCATCTTGCCATCAGCGATATTCGGCAAAAATTTTAAATCGCAAATAAGTATTAATGTATCACTAACAGTGGTCTGCAAATTATTCATTGTCTGCTAACGTATTACTAACGGTCATTCATTCATGAATATGAGCAGATTGACCAAATTACTCGCGCCAAATCGTCGATCGTTCGCGAAATAGCGGCCTTTCCAAGAATCAATTCTATGGAAAATAATATTTCAATCGAGGCTATTATGATTGTTTTTAGGTCAATTAAATTACAGAATCGTGAATATCGTTACATGGAAAGAATCAAAGTTAATGAAAGTGTTAATGAAGTGTTAATGAAATTTTTACGATTATTATGTTATTTACATCTGATGCTATTTTTATTTCCGTCCATTGGATTGCAGAAAAAAAAATTAATGAGTTTATCTCATAAACGTATAATTGTTAGATTTTCAGAGATCGCCCAGCAGCCAGATAATCCACAAGTCCACAAGTCAAGTTGTCAATAAGACAACGGAAGTCGGCATTGCAAACTATGTGCACAGAGCACGATTGTATCATGCTAAACGTAGACACTGGTACGAATGCAAATGGGTTAAACGCTTAGTCGGTTTCGCGTGCAAGATTCAGATCTGATTATACCTAAAGCCGCGGTTCAGGTTTGGTGTTTGGATTCCTACAGAACAATAGTCCCGGTTAAAGGTCCGATGATATCGTCGGATACGCTCTCCTCGCAAAATCCTGGTTTACTAAAACGATATGATGAGGTTCTCAGTTTCGAATAGTTGAACTCGGTATTCAAAAAGCAACCGGCGTAGTCCATATCCAGCGGTTGTTTCATAGTTTTGGATCAATTTTTAATTCGCTACGATGCCCGAAATGTATGTGTTTTAACTCGAAATTTCTCTTATTATTTTTTCGACTAATTACACATTTAATTATACTCTCTGTTACAATCTCTGAATAACATAAGAGATAATTTAAATGGACATAAACAAGAAATTAAAGAAATTAAAGAAAAATTGAGATACATTCTTTGTTTAAAGTCAATTAACGCGATTATGTGTTTGTACTTTAATTTTATAAAATATTACTAAAAATATTACTCTAAAATCATAATTTGATAAAGCTAATCGACAATTTTCAAAGCAAGAATGCATCTTCAAAGATTATCACTTAAATTACTACACTATACCATCGGTATTTTAACCGTTATGTAAATCAATAGTCTCGATTCGTTCGTGCACGGCACGGAATCGTGCTGGAAGCTTTTTTTCCGAAGTTTTCTTTGCCTCCGTAAAGTTAACGCTCCGTTTTTAGAATCTCGATATAACTGATAGAGTTTTAACTCGCCCTCGAAGAAAGGGAATTCTGCCAACTAGATCGAAATTCTGACAACGGAATGTTCAACTTCAAAGATGTGTTTCTCCATTTTCTATGGAATGGAATCTCACGAGTACAAAATTGAAATAGAGAGCGACACGAAGCGTGTTTGTCGAAATTCGCTAAAAATGAAAAATGTGATTCGGTGATTAGGCGAAAATATTTACCGGATTTTCCTTAATTTTCAATGGAACGAGAAGCCATAGGTTAGTAAATTGAGCAAAATTTCTCCAAGGCTCGAAAGTAAAGAAAAAAAAAGTCTCACAGCGAGTAATAGGATACTGATAAAGACCAGTGGATGAAGCAAATAGAATCTCATTAATCTCTGCAAGTCAATTTAACGAGATCCAAGTCCCGGATGGTAGCATGCCTCTCACTAGTTCGAACTACGAGTTCTAGGAAAACGATAAGGATCGCGTCTGTTAATTACACTTCGATTCAACGATGGTGCGCGGATGTCGTCGAGATCGTCATGCATCTCGCGTTGCCATCGAGTATCAAATCGCGTTGCCATCGAGAGTCAAGATCAAATTAGTCGTAACCTTTATTTATTTGATGAGTGAGAAAGGACATGCGACGAGTAGATATTAAAAAAAGTTAGATAGAATGCAAAATACTCGAGAGAGATATTTACAAGTTCGAGAGTTTCGTTTGATTAAGTTTTCAACACTCCAGAAATATATAATTCTCGAGAGAAAAAAATTTCAAATCCTCCTATCGTTAACAAAATCTTTTCAAAAAACGAGGAAAAATTGCGAGAATATAATCTTTAATTGCATATAATCTCGCTAGTTTTCTTCAAAAGACTAGACTATTAAGACTATTAAGTATGCCGTACTCTCAGATTCTTTTAAGGAGAGCAAGAGATCCTTACAGGATACTTCTCCATCAAACTGTGCGTTCTGGTGACTTGAGCCATCCTGCCGTTGAAGACCTCCTCCTTAGAGATGCCCGCCCTCTTGTAATCGGCATCGATCTCATCCTCCGCCAGTGAACTGAGACTGTTATACCACTGCACGCTGCTGGTCCTGTAGGGCTGCCTTGAGAGCTCATGACTACGATGGAGGTCCTTGCTAAAGCTCAGGCTACGCTTGATCGGCTGCAGGCTGCGGTTTATCGCCGCCGGTAATTCGGCGCTCCCTCTTAACAGAGCGCCGAATTTCCGACGGAACGATGCACGCCGTTCGATCTTTCCATTCGAATTATCCGTGTCCTTCGCCGAGATTTCCTTCAACGACGATTTTTTGACGCCAGGAGACTCTTAATTATATTATAGAGATTATATTAACGTGATGATAATTATATTAACGATCAAATAATTATATCATATTTATTACATATTTATTTTACTTATTTATCAATTAAAATTGTTTCCTTTGACATTACATGTTAAACTAAATCAAAACGCGTTTTTCCATGTTTTTCTAAGTTTACATGTTTTAAGATTAAAAAGTAACATTTTATTTCTGAATGTTGTCGACATCTTAAGGCATTTTAAACTTTAGCTTGTTAATGTAAGTTAACAAATAAAACTTGATTCCAATTGTATCTTTATCAAAATAAAACAATTTATCAATTTTTAATTCAATTTTTCTTTAATTTTTTCTTAATTAAATATTATCTTATATTTAATTTTAATTTAGTTCAAAAGCAAAATTAAAATTTTACGCTTTATTTTAACGTTATATATTTAATTAAAATTTTTTTTACTCTTGATACTAGAATTTACTAGAATTTAATGTCTTCGCTTTGAAAAAATTTTAGAAGTTTATTTGATAAATATATTCAATTATGTTCCTCGAGAAATATAATTCGGTAGTTGTTTAACAATATCAATATATTGTTGCAATCCTAACACAAATATGATTAACGTAGGAAATTACTTTTCGACACTTTTAAGGAAAAATAATGTTAATCACAAATTCCGCTAATGCCTTTCATGTATCAATAATTTCGCAAAACATGATTAATATCTAACACTTTGCGCACCTGCTTCCAGTTTCGTTTGCTTGCATTCCTTTACGATATTCCTCGACTGCGTCACATTCGCGATTTCATCACTGCAATTCGTCACTTTGTGGCTCGACTTGCCCATCTTTTTCGAGGACCTCTTGGCTTCCTTCTTTAGCGTCATCTTTCTCGGTCGGAATTCGCATCAAAATCGATTGCGTTTATTGTTAGACAATAACACTTAATGATGTTACGCGCCTCACGCGATGTGAATGACGATTTGTTTATTTTTACACAATGATCGAGTCGCATAACTTTCCTCCATTCATTTTCTAGAACCGTACACAACACGTCTTGAGCGCAATTTGCACATATACCTATATGCGCACACATACGGCGAACTATGTCGTTAAATGGTATCACTTCGATAACGACGCGTTATCGTTGTAGCGCATATCACTTGTATCGTTAATATCTCGTTCACTCATGCTTTTTTGCTTACCGTGTATTTAGTATTTCTGTGTTATTTTTTTAGTGAAACCTGGAAGTTAAGATAAAATCGATCGTATCGTCAGAAGGTGAGAACTTTCTTAACCATCTTTAAGCCGTTGATCCGATTTATGACTTCATATCTGCCACTTTTTTTGTTTTTTTTTTTTTTTTTTTTTTTTTTTTTTTTTTTTTTT